ACAATGCCACCCTGTCCGTCCACCAGCTGGTGGAGAACACGGACGAGACCTACTGCATCGACAACGAGGCCCTGTACGACATCTGCTTCCGCACCCTCAAGCTGACCACCCCCACCTACGGCGACCTCAACCACCTGGTCTCGGCCACCATGAGTGGCGTCACCACCTGCCTCCGTTTCCCTGGGCAGCTCAACGCTGATCTCCGCAAACTGGCCGTCAACATGGTGCCCTTCCCTCGTCTCCACTTCTTCATGCCCGGCTTTGCCCCCTTGACCAGCCGTGGCAGCCAGCAGTACCGGGCCTTGACCGTGCCAGAGCTGACCCAACAGGTCTTCGACGCTAAGAACATGATGGCGGCCTGTGACCCCCGCCACGGGCGCTATCTGACAGTGGCAGCCGTCTTCCGCGGCCGCATGTCCATGAAGGAGGTGGACGAGCAGATGCTGAACGTGCAGAACAAGAACAGCAGCTACTTCGTGGAGTGGATCCCCAACAACGTCAAGACGGCCGTGTGCGACATCCCGCCCCGCGGGCTCAAGATGGCCGTCACTTTCATCGGCAACAGCACGGCCATCCAGGAGCTCTTCAAGCGCATCTCAGAGCAGTTCACCGCCATGTTCCGCCGCAAGGCTTTCCTCCACTGGTACACGGGCGAGGGCATGGACGAGATGGAGTTCACCGAGGCGGAGAGCAACATGAACGACTTGGTGTCTGAGTACCAGCAGTACCAGGACGCCACGGCCGAGGAGGAAGAGGACTTCGGGGAAGAGGCTGAAGAAGAAGCTTGAAGCTTCACCCACCACCATAAACGCGCCCGCACAAATTAATTTTTTTTTAAAAAACAAACACACACCCACATCGCATCATGTTCCAATTTTCTTTTTCTTTCTTTCTTCCTTCTCAACTGTCTTCTCCATCCAGGTTCCTCCAGGGCTGAGCTTACGCCGGTTCTGTGATCTCCCATGTAAACATCAGCTTGGGCATCGGAGTGAGAGATGCCACTTCTGCTGTCTCTCCGCCCCTCATCTGTCTTCTCTTCTTCCCCAGCACTAAGTTATTGTGAGGTTCTGTCTCCAATAAAAGTCAGATCCCCTTTCTCTGTAACTGTCTACATCCAATGGCATCTCTCCTCTGCTCTCTCTCAAAGAGGGAGTTTAAATTTTGCTGATTCTTCTCAGCCCATGCTCATCTCGCTGAGGTGTTCTTCAGGGATGGGAGAAGATGGAGCGTGGGGATAACAGAGGGCTTGGTTGGATTGTCTAAGATCTGAAGTGTAACCCAAGGGATGTGCAAGATTAAAGTTCCCAAAGCAGGGTTGATAGGTTGTCCCTTCTTTGGCCCAGTGGCCTAGCAACCTGTAGCCAGGTTGTGAGAGAGAGCTGACTTTTTCCTGCTCTAGCCTTTATTGATGGAGTCTTGCATGTAGCTGTCATCCTGTAGGTAGCATCAGGCAGGTGTAAAACTCTTGTAGCAAAACCAGTAGAGGTGGGAGCTGTGAAGTGGATTAGCAGGAACAACATAAGTTGGTTTGTGGGAGCTCCCCCACCACTGGAGAAGGTGGGGGATGTGAGGCAGGTCTGGACCTGAGGAAGTCTAGTTGATTGCTTCTTAGACTGAGCAGAAGGTAGGAAGAGGTGGCCCTGAACTGGTTAGACCTTGCAGGTAATTAAATCACACCAGCAGCTGAGGAAGGTGAGAAGCAGGCCGGGCCTAGCAGAAACATCTGGCCCTACTTGGGGGAAGGAGATTCAATTTGCTTTTGCTGTTAGCAAGTCCCTCTGCTGCACCTTCCTCCTCAAGGAGAATGAGCTTGTGGCTGAATGCAGTGGGACTTGGGGGAGGAGAGTCTAGTGGAGGGGAGAAGGGACAGAACCCAGGAGTCCTGCCCCCCCTGCTGGGGGAGGGGGACTCCAGGACCCCCGGGGTTAGATTTATGGGTCTGCTACTTGGGTGAGAGCTGCTCGGTCAAGAAACTCCTTCCCCCTCCTGGCTGGACATGAGCATGTTTGCAAAGCTGTAGGAGATGCTGGAGCCCTGGGACAAAACCCCCCTAAACCTGTCTCTGTACGACCCTGCTCAATGTGTCCCGTTTGAAGGTCCCACCCACCAGGTGGGTGGATCTAAGTTCTGGAGCTGCCTGGCCTGCCCACACCCTCAAAGGGTGCGTCCCTGGCTTCCCCTAGTTAATATGCTTTCTGTTGGGGGGTCAGCCCCCAGCTTTTCCAGGCGGGGGCATCCCTCCCCTTTTCATTTCCATTCCTGACCCTATGCTGAGGATTTGGCCCACAGATTTTAGAGGGGGGGGGGATTCTCTTCCTTGTATCAATTTGGCCCCAGATCAGGGGACCCCCCATACCATCCATCTCCCCCGGTGCCCTAGATAAGTCAACTGAGCCATGTTCTCCAGGGATGAAAGGGCACCAAGCCACAGAGCCATGGTTGAGGGAGCTGGTCTCTACCATCTCAGCAGCTTTGGGGAAAGGGCCAGTGCAGGCCATGCGGCAGAATGAAAATCTCAGCCTAGGGCCCCTCTTGCCCTATCCCACCTGACTCATTTCTTCTCCAGGTTGGGGGATGGTCCTGCTGGAAGCAAAGTGGGAGAGGCCCTGAGAGCTGGTTACATTGCAGTGAATCGAGTCCAGCGAGCAGGGAGGGGGTGAGAGCCGGGGCGGGAGGGGGGGCAAACCTGTAGCTGGGGAGGGGAGAGGCTGTGAATGTAGATTGTCCCCATGCCCATGTTCTCTGGGGCTCAATTGTACCCCAAGGTCCTGCCACCGGGAATCAACCCCCAGCTCCCACCAGCTGAAGGGAGACAACAGCCCTGGAGGAATTGAAGGGGAAGAGAGTGGGGGTGGGGAGACCCCCACTGCTGTGGGTTCCAGCTGGCAGGTGACAATACAGCTGGAGGTCCCACCCAATGGGCCCCCCTCCACCTGGTCTGGCTTCAGCTCAACTCGGTCCTGTCTGGCTCTGTCTTATCAGCTCAGTGTCTGTCTTTTTTTTTTTCTTCCTCTCCTCTCGCTTGCTCCATCTTTCTCGTTTTTTTTAACTGCTTTTTTCATATTGAAAAGACGACGTTCTGCGAAAGAATAAACCAATTTTTTTTAAATTTTCCTGACTGTGTCCTAGTGCTTTGTGGGGGCGGGGGGGCCATGACGGGCGCCTGAGGAGCCCCTGTGCCCCTCAGCACAGGAGCTTTAGGTGCCAGGAAAACTGCCCCTGAGTCTTGCTCCCCTCTCCCCAGCTCTGCTGGTGCCCCTCATGCCGGACGGGCTGCCCCTGCTAGCCCAGCTGTGGGGTTCTCTTCCTGCCCTACAGCACTGGTGCCCCTCACTCCTAGCCCTGGGGGTTCCCCCTGCTGCCCAGAGGCCTGACCCCCAGCCCTGGGTTCCCCGCCAGTGCCCCTCCCTCCAGACTTGCAGCAGCTGTGGGGCAGGGAAGTGCTGGAGGGGACGTGCCCAGTGGATGAGCTCAGTGCTTGGGGGGGTGAGCTGTGCCACGTGGCAGGGAAGCAGCAGGCGTGAGAGGAAATATGCCCCCCCCCATCCATTTCCGTCTCATTCAGCCGGGTTTGTTCAGGCTTTAACAGCAGCTGGATTGTGTGCGCCCCCCCCCCTTTCAATTCCTCCTTTCCCGTCTCTGGCTGGTTTGTCCGTCCCTGCAGATCACGTGCACACCTCTCCTCCCCCCCCCCCCAGCCAGATGCCTGCTCCTGGGCAACGTCTGGCTCTTAGCCCCCAGCAATTGGGGGGGGTGTTAATCTGAATAACCCACAGCCGGCTTTCACACAGGCCCCAGTGACTGCCCATGGAGTGGGGGTGGGGGCAAGGGGCTGGCCCCAGGGCAGCAGTGGGGGGTACTGTGCAGCAGGGGGCGCTTTCCCCTGGCAGTCTGCACCTCCCCCCATGGGGCTTGGCCGCTCTGCAGGTAGCAGGGTGGGGGTACCTGGGGCTCTGCAGGGTGGGGGGCACCAGGGGTCAGCAGGGGGTGCTGTGCTGCAGGGGGCCCCAGGGGCACTGGGGGCTCAGCAGGGAGTGTTGCACTCTGCCCCAGCCCCCCCAACACGTTGAATCTCCAGATTTCTGTCCCCAATCCCCCCCCCAAGCGAATGAGGAGCCAGGCGAACGGGGCCGTTCCCACACTGGGGCGTTTAATGGTCTGGGGGTACAAGTACCAGCACAGGGGGTGACACATACACAGGCTCACTTACAATCAGGGGGGGCAGAGAAGGCACCTTCATGCACCCGTCACATTCGGGGCACCAGGATGGACACACACAGGGAGGGGGGGACAGGGGCCCTGGCCCAGCTTCCGGGACCCCCCCAACCCCTTCCTGGGCACAGCCCCAGGGCAGGGCAAGGTGGGATCAGGCCCCCTTCTGCCCTGAACCCTGGGTCCAGCGGGACAAACCGGCACGTGTGGTGGAGGGAAGAGACAGTGTAGGAGGTGGAGACGCGAGACGGGGACCCCTAGTGGTGGAGGGGGGTATAGCAGCTGGGTGTGTGTGTACAGATATGAAGCATTTCCCCCTCTAGGGGGCACCAGCCACAGGGCAGGGACTGGCTGGCTCAAGGGGATGGGGCATGGGGCATGGGGCACAGGGCCTTTCCCCTCTAGGGGGTGCTGGCAGTGATCCAGCCCTGGGGTGTGGAGGGAGGCAGGGGCCTGGCTCCTAACCTGCCATTCCAGCCAAGTGGGGGGGGGGGGGCAGCAGAAGGCACAGCTGGGGGGGAGGGGGCTGTGGAAGAGTTTACTTTGGCCGCAGTGAGTGAGTGAAAATCAGTTTCGGCAGCGGAGGCAATGGCTTGAAATCCCCTCTGCCCCCTTTCATCCTGTGCCCCTTAGTGGCAATGAGATACCTACAGCTGCATCCCACCCCAGCTCTCCTCCCCCCGTGTCTACCCCCCATCCAGAGGCACTGCGAATGCTGGAAGCTGGGGGCTATGCCCCATCCCCTCCCCAAAAGGGGTTCACTCCTGTCTTTTCCTGACCCACGCCTGGGGCTGGTGCTACGGAGGAGCATCTAAAGCATTTACAGCCCCGGCTGGCCACGAAATACCAAACTCCAGAGCTCCCGGCAGCCGCCAACTGGCCGACCTGCCATTTCACATCAGTCTGATTACCTTCTTGGCTTGCTTCTCCGACCCGGCTTCAGCAGCTGATATCTCACCAACGCCGCATGGTAGAGAGGTGCGGCAGGTGTTGTTTCGAAGCTGGGGCTGTCGGCTTTCAGCCGGTATCTGACTTTTACTTGTGGTTTTAGCCAAAAGAGAGATATGAGCTGCTAAATCTGGGCTGGTGCAAGGGAAAAGGAAGCCAGAGGGTTCTGAAAATGATGAGGCTTTAAGGGGAGATATCTCAGGCTGCATTAGGAGTAGAATTAAGAGGTTGGCGGCGTTGAAAAGAGGAGATCCCAAGCTTTCCTGCAGTATAAAGGGTTTGTTTCTCACTCTGCGGCTCTTGAGAAAACAGACTTCAAAGCTGCACCTCCTGAATGAGGATAAAGACATGGCGCCCGCCGTTCCAGAGCTGGAGGTGACGGAGCATCTCCTTCAGGATGATCTTGGATGTGAAGAGATGACGGAGCGAGAGGGTGGGTCTGATCCCCCAGGAATACAAGGTCCAGGCGAGGTTAGGGTGGTGTGGGGAGCAAACCCCCCCCCCAGCTCTTCAGGAAGGGGGAGAGGTTGGGGGGCTGGCGAGGGTACACGGGAGGTGGCATTGACCCACGGGGCTCAGTGGCTGGTGCCCTGCACATCCCCCCCCTCGGGGGGCAGCCAGCATGAGGGGGGGCCTGAGACACACACAGCAA